CTCAAGGGGCTGCAACATCAGCTCACAGAAACTGTCTCCACTTGAGGTTTCATGTGCATGGCCATCTAGAATTTCATTGCTTCATGTCTGGAGGAAATGAATCTAACATGCAGATTAGACACATAATATCCTTTTTCTGTTCTAGTAACTCCAAATTATTTGAAAATCAGAATCTTTTAGACCTTTTAATTATAAAAATAACACATGGGGCAGTATTGTGATTATGCAGGTTAAGCTGATGCTGCTTGGAGTGCCAGCATCCCATAAAAGCCTGATGTGAGTCCTGGCTCCTCTTCTGTTCCAGCTTCTTGATAATCCAGCTTCCTGGTAATGCACTTGGGAAGGCAGAGGAAGATGGTCAAGTGCCTGGGTCCCCATCAACTATGTGGGAGATCCAGATGGGGTTCCTGGTCCTTGGCTTCATCTTGGCCCACCCTAGTTATTATAACCATTTGGGGAGTGAACAAGTAATGGAAGATCTATCTCTCACTCCCTCTCATTTTCTCAGTCTCTACCTTTAGAAAATACATCTTTAGCAATAATGTGCATATTAGCTATTAAAAATTGCAGAACATAAAAACATAGGTATTATTCCCTTCTTTCTAGGGAGTACTAGTCACACTTTCCAGAACAAACTACTCTTAAAAGATTCTTACATTTCATTTTGAGACTTCCATATGCATATATAAGGGTACTTTAAAGCATCATAAAAAAGTGGAATTAAATTATTGTCTGTTTTACTGTAACAAATTTAAGTCCATGCATACAAGAAGGTTTCAAAACCATTTGAGTGTGTTCTCAAAAAATATTCAAATAATTTTAATTTTTGCACCAAGATAATGTCAGCTTTTAACTCCATTTTCCATGAACCTTTTGAAGGGCCTTCATAAAGATATATATTCATGGGCCAGCATTGTGGTGTAGTGGGTGAAGACAAAGTCTTTGATACTGGCATCCCTTATAGGCACTTGTCTGTGTCCTGGATACTCTACTTTGATTGAAATATCTGTGAATGTGTCTGAGAGGCAGCAAAAGATGGCCAAAGTCCATGGCTTTGGCACCCATGTGGGAGACCCAGTTGGAGCTTCTGGCTTCAGCCTGGCCCAGCCCCAGCCATTGCAGCCATTTGGGAAGTGAATCAGCAGGTGAAAAATCCCTCCCTGCCTGTCTATCTTATGAATGAAATGAAAAGGAGTAAATAAAATTTTTAAAAGATATATATATATATATATACACACACACACACATGCTTTTTTTCATTGCAAAGCAGCATTTTTTCTGTACCTTGTTTTACTTACAAGCACTCTGTACCTAAATCATTTTTCAGATCATTACATATTTACTATTTCATTGTACACATATACCATAATGTATTTTATTAATTCTCTATCAATATACATTTAGGTTGTTTCTGTTTTATTACAAAGAACTTACATGGCTTTATGTATTTGCCCAAATATATGTAAGATAAATTCCTGCAGTTGAATCATACCAAAGAACATTTGCATTTAAAGTATTTTGTAGAGAGATCTGTCAAATGTTTCCTCCAAAGAGACTCTGCTGCATTACACTCACACCTTCAATAAGTGCATGTGTGATCAGTCAGAATTCCCTCAGATGCTTCCATTGACCATCTCTTTTGATGCCTATCTTTAAGCTTTCTTTTCTTCTTTCTAGCTCTCTGATCACAGTTTTCTTACCAACTTCTCTATGAATATGGTCCTGCACTTATTTCCTCTATACTCACCCTCTTCATTGCCTTCTCTCCTGCCTCCAACCTCATTTTCCTGCTCACAAACTTCCTGTATGGCTTCCATGGAGCTCAGCACAACTGAACAGAAAACAGGTGCTCTTTCCCTGGCCTCCCAACCTGCCAGCCTCCTGAACCAATAGAGAATGTTAATCAGGAAACATGGAAATAATTAGTCTAGGTCACATTATAAGAAGAAATAAATTCCTATTGGTGTAGCCACAGGGAAAAGCCATCTAGAAGAATTCTATATTGTCTTTTGTTGAAATGGAGTCTGGGGCTGCTGCTGTGGCATAGCCATACTAAAGCTCCTGCTTTTAGTGCAGGCATTCCATAAGGGTGCCAGTTTGAGTCCTGGATGCTCGACTTCTGATCAGCTCCCTGCTAATGAGCCTGAGAAAGCAGCAGATGATGACCCAGGTGCTTGGGCCCCTGCTCCCATGTAGGAGACCTGAATGAAGCTCCTTGCTCCTGGCTTCAGTCTAGCCCTACCTTGGCCATTGTCATTTGGGGAGTGAACCAGCAGATAGAAGATCTCTCTCTCTCTCTCTCTCTCTCTCTCTCTTTCTGTAACTCTGCCTTTCAAGGAAATAAATAAACCTTATAAAAAAATATACAAGTAACTTTAAAAACAATGGAATCAGGGTGGGCGCTCTCACTCAGCAAGTTAACACCCTGCCCTGAAGTGGGCACCAGTTCAAGACCCAGCTGTTCCACTTCCAATCCAGCTCTCTGCTATGGCCTAGGAAAGCAGCAGAAGATGGTCCAAGTCCTTGGGCCCCTACACCCCTGTGGGAGACCCAGAGGAAGCAACTGGCTCCTGGCTTTGGATAGGCACAGCTCTGGCTGTTGCAGCCAACTGGGGAGTGAACCATCAGATCTCTCTCTCTGCCTCTCCTCTCTCTGTGTAACTCTGACTTTCAAAATAAATAAATCTTTAAAAAAATGGAATATTTTTTTCCTATATTCCATACTAGATAGAATTCCTGTCTTTGAAACAATAACTCATGATTTTTATTCATTATTCCTTCTTTGGAACTGGAGTGGGAACAGGCAAAAAAGTAGATGAAAGAAAGGAAAAAAATTAAAACCTATAAGTACCATATTGGACAGGAAGACTGGAGAAGAGGTAATAAAAATAAGGTTAAGAAATAAAGCCAACTTCTTAAAGCCTTAAAAACAGAAATGAAGAAAGGAGGAGGAAATAGGCAAAGAGGTATTGTTATGTTCTTAGAATTGTATCCATTAAATACATGGAATCTGTTCTGTTTATATAAATAAATATAAATTGTTTAAAAATTAAAAGCTTTTTTTTTTCTTTTATTGAATTGCTACTGCCTCATTCCAGAGCTCTAAAAATAGAATCCAAAGGCAAGCATGGGTTGCAGGATTGGGGCAGAGTAGAATGGGCAGTGACAGCCCTATTCCTCTAACAGCAACCTCTGCATCCCAACTCCTGACCAATCACCCAGAATCAGCTTCATAAAATAATCCACTTATGAGGAAGGCTCAGAGAAAAATCAATGACTTCACTCTCTTTCTGCCTGTGAAGCATCTTAGAAATAAGCATGCTGCTAAGAAAGTGAGATTATGGCCAAACTATGTATAAAGAACACAAGGATATAAAGTTGTGAGGCAATTTGGTGATTTATGAACACTCACAGTGAACTACAGATGATGGAAAAGGATGGATCACAGAATGAGAGCTAAAGTAGGCAGCCCAGACAGCAGTGATCAATCAGCCTTTAAGCTGAGATTTATGAATATTTGCAAAGTGTACAAATGAGTACTACATACAGCAACAGTGATTTTTATTCCCCCTGAGGACATAAGGCAAAATATATTTTTTCCAATTTTTTAATTATTTATTTTTTCATTTCCTTTGAAAGGCAGGGGAAGAAGGAGAACAGATTTCTTGCATTTGCTGGTACCTCCCCAAATGCCCACAACAGCTGGGAATGTGCCAAACTGAAGCCAGGATCCTGGAACTCCATTCAGGCCTAGGTGAGCTGATCCCAAGGACAGAGCCCTCGGTGATATCTGCCTTTATGAACACACATCTCAGTATAACATAACACCTCCTATTGAAGGTTTTTGGGATCTAAGAGAAAACTTTAGCTGCATCACAGAGGAGAGCAAAGCATTAACCCTGAGGCTGCTGTGAGCCAACAGGTTTCCTGCTTACCTGAGAATCAGCCTGCTCACTAGGGAAACCAAGGAAAGAGGACCAAGCAAAGCCACTTGGGACCTGTGAGCAGAGTCCATCTCCTGAGTGAGAAAGAAGGAAGAGCCAGCCATGGCAGTTCTGGGCCCCCTTAACCTGGAATGGGTGCACAAACTAGCCAACTCCAATTTAGACTGAGTGAACAGACCAACAGGCTGGCCAAAGATTGCATCAATGGGCTAGCACTGTGGTGAAGTGGGTAAAAACCACCACCTATCATGCTGGCATCCCATATGGGCCCAAGTTCAAGTCCTGGCTACTCCACTTCTGATACAGCTCTTTGCTATGGCCTGAGAAAGCAGTAGAAGATAGCCCAAATTTTTGGGCCCCTATACCTGTATGAGAGGCCTGGAGGAAGCTCCTGGTTCCTGTCTTCAGATCAGCCTAGTTCCAGCCATTTCAACCATTTGGGAAGTGAACCAGCATATGGAAGATGCCTTTCTGTTTCTGCCTATCAAATAAATAAATAAATCTTAAAAAAAAATTGTGTCACCTATTCAGGAATCTGGATACAAGAGTGACCTAAAAAGAACTAGCAACAGATGTGCACAATAGGAGCCAGGGTGATAAGTGGGTAATAAATGCAGATTCTAGCCCAAGACAGCAGACAATGCCGACCTTCTTTTCTGTTGTAAAGTCTTATTTTAAAGGCCTTGGGGAACATATCTGTAGACAATTCGTATGTAGGATACACATGGGCCATTTGCAATTGGTCTATAAATATCATTATTATTATTACTACTATTTCCCTGAGCAATGAGCACCAGGAACTACCTCAGGGAGGAACAATTAAAGGAAATTACTTCAGTCCCATACCCAGGGAATTCTGCACCCTACATGAAGCTCTTCTTGCAAACTACTTATCTCATTTTTCATTTAAAAAAAAATCTTTTTTTCTATATTCCATACTGGATAGTATTATTGTCTTGGAATCAATAGCTCATAATTTCTTCATTTTATTGTTCCTATTTGCATTATTTTTTCAGGGGAAATAATTCACTCCTGAAGAGGCTTCTTTTTTTCCAGATAGCCCAACAACTGCCTTGGAAATCACTTGTGATGTCAGATGGATGGACAAGCAAGCCAACTGGAGTCATCCTCTAGGAGAAAGGACACTTTACCCAAATGGCTATATTTCATTCTACAGAAAAATGCAACCTGAAACAAAGAACTGTCCTTCAGTCCCCTGGTTTAAGCAAAGGGCCCATGTGCATTATTCCAGGTCTGCACCCCTTTTCATTCTACTCACATGTGAACTATCCGTATAGGGAAGTAGAATGTGAGCCAGCAGTAACCATGTTGGTAGAAGTGGTCAGTGTTTGCATTATACAACTGATTTTAATGACCTCATATTCAGTCATAAAACTTCTGCTCTTAGCAAGGGACACACACGCACACAGCCATATTCACCCCTGTATGAAAACTATTATAAACTGCTTATTTAGGAGTATCTTTTTGCATTTAATTATAGCAGTTCTCTACTCTTATAAAAAACCTCCATAAAAAACTGAAAAATGAGTCTATCAGAAACTATTTTAAAAATTGAACTCTAAATTTAAAAATAAAAACTAAAAGGTGCCCTATTTGTGCCTTTGAATACTTCCTGACCTCTCTTCTGGCTTTCCCCTCCTCCCTCACCCCACATCCCTTTTCTGCATCATTGCCCCATATGCCCCTGCAACTCTCTCCCTTTGGAGCAGTCTTGTAGACTGTCATTCAATCATGTGAGGAATGTTACTTATTTCAAAATGATTCTGTAGGGCATCCCTAAATGGCATCTAATGGCAATAAACAGGTCTTCTAACATCCCTTAACTATATTTCTAGCATATGTGGAACCAGCATTGTGGCATATTAAGTAAAGCCACTGTGTATGACACTGGCATCCCACATGGGCTGTGGTTCATGTCCCAGCTACCCTACTTCTTTCTAATCCAGCTTCCAGGTAACGTAGCAGAGGATAGCCCAAGTGGTTATGTCCCTGCTCCTCCATAGGAGACTTGGATGAATCTCTTGGTTCCTGCATTGACCCAGCCCAGCCATGGCTGTTGAGACCACTGAGGGAACAAACCAGTAGGTGGAAGATTCATTTCTCTCTCTTTCTCTATCTCTATCTCTGTGAGTGGTGGGGGTGCAGGTATCTTTCCCTATTTCTAACTCTGCCTTTCAAGTAAATAAATGAACATTTAAAAAAAAAAAAAAAGATCCACACTGTGGTGCAGCTAGTTAAAACCATAGCCTGCAGAGCCACCATCCCTAACAGGTACCAGTTCATTTCCTGGTGGCTCCACTTCCCATCCAGCTCCCTGCTAATGGTCTGGAAAAGTAGCAGAGGATAGTCCAACTTCTTGGGCTCCTGCAGCCACATCAGGCATCTGGCTTATGGTTCCTGGCCTCAGTCTAGCACAGCCCAGGCTATTACAGCTATTTGGGAAGTGAACCAGCAGATGGAACATCATAGAATAAAAGAAATAATTAAAATTAAAAAGAAACAAAAACAAAAAAATTCTTGTCATTCTGCCTTTCTGATTTAAAAAATTATAAAATGAAAAACTGATCATAAAAATTATGACTCAAGTTGACATATGATGGATCCAAGAAAGCTACTGCTGTCTAGTGCCCCTTAATGCTTTCCTACAGAAAAATCATTTATCTTGCTTTCCAAGTACTCAAATATCAAAAGCACCAATGCTACCCAGTATAACTCTGTTTAAGGCTGCTTCAGTATTGAAGGAAAAGAAAAGGAGCAAGGGGCACAAACCCAGGATGGTTTCAGGGTGACAGGATCCTCATTTTGCACCTTGGTTTCTAATTGGAGATGGTCACACAGGGAACTTCAGATACTGCAGAGCTGCCCAAACACAGTCAATCACAGACATTGTCATAGGCTCCCTGTGTGTACACTGGAAGGAGAACACAGAGCACTCCACAGGCAGAATTGTGTTAAACAAAATTTCTCTACCCTGCTGACCACAATCTCAAGAATGTCCTGATCAAAATGCCATTTTGGTTCAAGAAATAGACTATCTGACCTTTTCTCCACTCAGATATATTCCTGTGTGAAGAATCCATTTCCCTGGGGGCATGGCACCACCACACAATGCAAACCAGGCTAATAGCAGAGCTATGGCTTTGATGCTCTGAGGAGAATGGATAACATCTATGAGATCTGAATGGACTAAAAAGCTCTAGGATTCTGATACAGATTTGAATTAAAAGATAGAAACATGCCGGCACCGCGGCTCATTAGGCTAATCCTCCGCCTTGCGGCGCTAGCACACCGGGTTCTAGTCCTGGTCGGGGTGCCGGATTCTGTCCCGGTTGCCCCTCTTCCAGGCCAGCTCTCTGCTATGGCCAGGGAGTGCAGTGGACGATGGCCCAAGTGCTTGGGCCCTGCACCCCATGGGAGACCAGGAGAAGCACCTGGCTCCTGCCTTCGGATCAGTGCGGTGCACTGGCCACAGTGCACCGGCCGCGGCGGCCATTGGAGGGTGAACCAATAACAAAAGGAAGACCTTTCTCTCTGTCTCTCTCTCTCACTGTCCACTCTGCCTGTCAAAAAAAAAAAAAAAAAAAAAAAGAAACACAAAAATCAACTGAATCTGTTAGGTGAGAAGAAAGGAATATTGCTCTCCAGTGGTTACTTTGTAGCATATTAGCCTTCAGAGTTTCATTTTCTACTTATATTTGAGGAAATAAAGATTGAGTCAGTTCCATCCTAACACATAGCAGCTTTAGCCACTGATCACATTACAGCTAGCCTTGATCACTACCTCTCACTTAACAAATGACAAACTAAAATAGAACATTCTAATGGATTGCTGACACCTGTTCAACAGGCATCTCCAAGACTTTGACACACAATTCCACAGAAGGGGAATGGTGGGGCTGGTATTGTGGCACAGTGGGTTAAGCCACCACAGCCTCAAATGCTTGCATCCCCTATGAGTGCCAGTTTTTTCTCCCCAGATGGGCACAACAGCCAGGGCTGAGTCAGGTGGAAATCAGGAGCCAGGAGCTTCATCCAGGTCTCCCACATAGGTAGCAGGAACCCAAACACTTGAGCCATCCTCCACTCTTTTCCCAGATGATTAACAGGGAACTGGATCATAAGTGAAGCAATTGGAATATGAACCATCACCTATTTGGGATGCCAGAATTGCAGGCAGTGGTTTTAGCTCATAGTGCCAAAATGCTGGCCCCATGAGTGCCAGTTTAAGTCACAGCTGCTCCACTTCTGATCTGTTAATGCACTTGAGGAAGAAGCAGATGATCCAAGCATCTGGGCCCCTGCTCCCACATGGGAGACTTGGATGGAGTTCCAGGCTCCAGGCTTTCAACTGGCTCAATCCTGCTCATTGTGGCAATGAACCAGCAAATTGAAGATCCTCCTCCTTCTGTGTCTCCCTCTTCCTCTGTAAATCTACTTTTAAAATAAAATGCTTAATTCTTACAAAAAAAGGGAAAAGGTAAAAGAGGAGCCACATACAAATAACAGAGTAAAACTATGGTTCTGCTATCCCTCGGCAGCCTTCTGCCTTAAGTGGGAAGTCTTCAGCTTACAGACACTGACATAAAAGACACTTACAGCATATTTCAAAATAACAGATGAGAGGTTTACAAGGCAGGTTGATTTTATGATGACTTTTACTGTAAAGTCACACTAACAATAGGCAGATCCCCTTTAGTGCACCCAAGTTAACCCAGTGCCTAATTCAAAGAGACAGCCTGAGGAAGATGTGCTGACAGTGGAGAGAGCTGAAATGTCTCCATTACTCTTCTCAACATCATAAACAGAAGAAGAAAAGGTATTCATATCTGTGGTTATAAAGAAGATGGAAGCATACCAATTTCAGAAGAGGAGGATAAAAACTCAGATATAGTTTTCTTAAGAAAATAAAATGAAGTAAATCTCAGAATATAATGTGGGTTGAAAAAACATCATCAATTCATCAATTCTCACCAGGAGCCAGGAAAACTGCCCATGTGAGCCAAATAACAGTTTAGTTCCCACTATGGCAGGTGTCACCCAACCAGGCACTCAGAGAATATGAGCAAAGCTTTTCCACAAGAGGAAACATGAACTATGAACCAGACACAAAAGACAACTATGTCTAGTGCTCAATGTGAGCCCCAGAATAACCCCTCAGTAAACCTGTTAGATCCCAAGAGAAGTCAGCTTTTTAGCTTTGCAGTCACAAAGAAAATTCAGCTGCCTGAAATGCTTTATGGTGACTGATAACACCTTTATTCTTGTCTAAAAAATGGCTTGAAGTGGACAAGAGCTGACAGTTATGAAAACAGAATTACATGCAGTCTACTAGATGTGAATCAATGGAAAGGCTAGAAAATGTCAAGACCAGAGAAATATAATGAGAAAAGCAATGAAATTAGAAATGGATGAGTTTCTTCAGAGCTTTTCCCCCATCAAATTCCCTAGGAACCCACACTTGCTAATGTGGTGGCATTCACTCCACTGACAAACCCTTGGAAGGTAAAACAAGTTGTCTACTTGAAAGTGCCCAATGTGAGTCCATCCATCAGTCTCTTTCAATGGCCACAGTCACATGAGAAGCAGTCTTCCCAGTGAGAGAGGCCAAGTGGCATCTTGGATCAAGGCAGTGACTATTGCTGGGCCAGCACCCCCTTTGCAGACCAGCAGTAACAGCAAAGAGAAAAAGTGGAGAAGAAAGTTAGGGAAGAAAAAAAATGGAAACCTCAATTTGTGGAGACTCCATCTTTCTGGCTTACAGATGCTCAGGCAAGACCCACCACAGGTTTAAGGGGCCACTGAGGGGGAGCAGCACATCATGGTCACTCAGAAAAATCAACAGACAGCTTTCTGTTGTCTATACATAGCTGACTGGTCTATACACATTCCAGGTGAAATGAACCTGAATCAAGTGAAGAAAAAGGCTTACAAAAACCTTCAAACACAATATTCCATGGGAATGAACTTTGCAAAGCCAAGTCACCCAATAGAGTAGGTGGGGGAATCTATATTTTAAAGAAGCACCATTCAAGGTAGACCTGATATTCAGAGACCAGTTTTGAGTTTTACAATTCACCCACATATGCATCCTCCCTTCATCTCCCCAACAAAGACCAAACACTGAAGAATCTCCACATCATGCACATCTAGAAAAGAAGATCTGTACATGAGTTGATACAAATTGTACACATGGATACTTCATGCACACTGGCCATAACATGCATCTCTACATGCCATTTTAAAACTGTTTCCAGAAACAAGGCTCTTTGTGAATCAATAGTACCAACACTACTTTTGATGCACACACCTCTCTCATCACACAGGATTCCTATTTCTCTTTCTGAGAAGTAATAAATCAGTTTCAACCACATGATTGACATCCTTTGATAGTATGTAGAAACATAATTGATGTCTTTGGAATGTGTTGTCTAGAAGTGTCTGTCTTCCACAGGATTGGTAATTGTAGCCATTCATTCAGATTTGTGAACTGCCTTGGATTTGGCATTGACTTTTTTTTTTTTTTTTTTGGACAGGCAGTTAGACAGTGAGAGAGAGAGAGAAAGGTCTTCCTTCCATTGGTTCACCCCCCAAGTGGCTGCTATGGCTGGTGCTCTGCACTGATCCAATGCCAGGAGCCAGGTACTTCCTCATGGTCTCCCATGCAGGTGCAGGGCCCAAGCACTTGGGCCATCCTCCACTGCCTCCCCAGGCCACAGCAGAGAGCTGGACTGGAAGAGGAGCAACTGGGACAGAACCAGCACCGCAACCAGGACTAGAACCCAGAGTACCGGCACCACAGGCAGAGGATTAGTCTAGTGAGCCACTGCACTGGCCTGCCATTTACATTTGACAGGGGTCGGAATGTTTTTTTTTTTTTCTGCCAGGTCATTTGGATATTTATAATCACTGATGGATCACACAAAATTACAAAATTAGAAATTCACATGCCATAGATTGATTATCCAGTACCACACACACTTGCCTTGGCAGGGCCAGAACAAATGTTTTCATGGACTCTAAATGACCCACAGATTGGCTGTTCCTCACCTCTGATTTAGAGTAAAATGATAATTAAAGTTCTGACTTCTTTAGCTTTGCTTATTGGCCAAGTCAGAGCCGATGTCCAATAAAGGCCCTTAGAACCTACTGGAGTTAGCAGAAATTTTTCCCATTTTCCTTGTAACTTTAGAATGCATTTTCTTTCTTTTTTTTTTTAAGATTTGTTTATTTTATTTGAGAGTTAGAGTTACAGACAGTGAGAGGGAAAGACAGAGAAAAGTCTTCCTTCCATTGGTTCACTCCCCAAATGGCCACAATAGCTGGAGCTGTGCCAATCCAAAGCCAGGAGCCAGGAGCTTCTTCCTGGTCTCCTCCATGAGTGCAGGGGCCCAAGGACTTGGGCCATCTTCCACTGCTTTCCTAGGCCATAGCAGAGAGCTAGACTGGAAGTGGAGCAGCCAGGACTAAAACCAGCACCCATATGGGATGCTGGCACCACAGGCAGAGGATTAACCTACTGTGCCATGGCACTGGCCCCATAGAATGCATTTTCTTAGCCACTAATTCCTCTTGAAGTTGTCTATTGATGGCCTACTTTTGTGGCACACTGGTTTAAGGTACCTCCTGCAATGCCAACATTCTATGTGAGCACCAGTTCAAGTCTTAGCTGCTCCACTTCCAATCCAGTTCTCTACTAATAGGCTTGGGAAAGGCAGCAGAAAGTGGCCCAACACTTGTAAAGGACTTGTCCCACCCTTCCCTTCCTCCTCTCTTTCTTCCTCCTTCCCTGCTCCCTGTCCCACTTCCGCACTTTTGTGGATATCCTAGGTACCAAAGGGACCTTTCCTGTCTCCTTGCAATGCAAATAGCAAAGCTGATAAGTGGCACAGAGCATCTCATGAAACAAATAAGTGGAAAGTCCCCTGAGGCTTCAAAGAGACATCCATTTTTCCCCAGGTGCTTTCTATACCTCCCCACCCCTTAGTGAAAAATTCCCTCCTAACTGGATAAAACCTGGAGTCCTGACTCACCTGCCCACAGCCCTCTACTGAGAATGGGCTGTGACCCCTCTTTGTTTCCAATAAAGCAACCTGTCTCTGTTGAGGTTGATCTGTTTCCTTTTTCCATCTCTTCTCCTGGGGGTATGAAAGGCCAGAATCCTGAGCTATTTTAAACCAAACAACTTGGGTCCCTGCCACTCACATGGGAGTCCCAAAAGGTGTTCCAGGCTCTATGCATGATTCACTTCCCAACTGAGCTATCCAAGGACACTATCCAGGATTCACTTTCTATTTTTACTTCCTAGATAGTCTCATTATGCTCAACAATTAGTAATCTGTGATAAAACCACAACACATAGGCCGGTGGCACAGCTCAATAGGCTAAGCCTCTGTCTGCTGCACTGGCACACTGGGTTCTAGTCCCAGTTGCTCCTTTTCTGGTCCAGCTCTCTGCTGTGGCCTAGAAAGGCAGTGGAGGATGGCCCAAGTCCTTGGGCCCTGCACCTGCATGGGAGACCACGAGGAAGCACCTGGCTCCTGGCTTTGGATCAGTACAGTGCACTGGCCACAACACACCAGCCACAGCAGCCATTGGGGGGTGAACCAATGGAAAAAGTAAGACCTTTCTCTCTGTCTCTCTCACTGTCCACTCTGCCTGTCCAAAAAAAAAAAAAAAAAAAAAAAAACACACATAAACCACTAAAATACAGTTATGCATGTGAAAACTTAATTATACTGAAAGTCACAGATAGTTTTCAAGGCCACATCTTCTACTCCACTATATGGGTATCGTTGTGTGGAAAGAGGGGTACTTTTTTGTCTTTTTCTCTTTTCTTACCCTTCCTCACATTAACAACTTGTATAGATGCTTCCAAGTAACAGTCATGAAACTATAGAACTAGGGGCCAGTGCTGTGGCACAGCGAGTTAATGCCCTGGCCTGAAGTGCCAGCATCCCATATGGGCACCGGTTCTAGTCCAGGCTGCTCCACTTTCGATCCAGCTCTCTGCTATGGCCTGGAATAGCAGTGGAAGATGGCCAAGTGCTTGGGCCC